CAGGGAGCGCGCTCTCGGGACATATGTCCTTTTTTAATAGAACGCAAATGTGTGGCCGCTTGGCGTCTAGGCCCAGACGCTGGGAGGTTGCACATTTGTGTGCGGCCAGTGTGAAGAGGTTAAAGAATTGAGCTCTGTCATTTTAAAGCCATTGTTTCTAATTTTTAGGGACTCTTTAGTGACTGGCATAGTACCACTGGATTGGTGTAAGGCCAATGTGGTGCCAATATTTAAAAAGGGGTCAAAATCTTTCCCAAGTAATTATAGACCTGTTAGTTTAACGTCTATAGTTGGAAAGATGCTGGAGAGTTTAATAAAAGACCACATAGATGAGTTCTTGCTGGAAAATAATATTTTATGCAACAGACAGCATGGATTCATGAAAGACAGAAGTTGTCAAACAAATCTGATTTCTTTTTACGAGGAGGTGAGCAAAATCCAAATATACTATGTCCATCGCTATGCAGAGCCATACAAAGCAGTGTGCAGGAACTGACAGGGAAGAGATCTGTGTTGTTTATACACAGGTCTCTCCCCCCGTCGGAGATACTCGGTGATCTCTGGGTGCCGGCGACAAATCGCCGGCTGGGACCCGATGATTGACAGCCGAGGCCAATGAATGGCGGTGCGCAAAGGCAGCGTGCACGCCCCCTACCCAGAACTGCAAAATAACGTGTGTATATATGCATGACTTTGCGCACCCTTGCCGCCCTGTAGCAGTATTTCTGCTATAGGGCGGCGTGGAAGCGGTTTAAACAGCAGAACTTGAAAACGCCCTGTGGGTGGGGCGAAATGCATTGATGCACTTCTGGTCTGCCGTCTTCTTGGCCTACGTCACTTCCGGTATTTGGAACGCACGCCGACTTTTGCGGTTAAAGCAGCCATTTTTGAGGTGGAAAGCTGGCCATCCTCTACAGTGATCCTTAAAGCGTGAGATCCCTATATTTATAATTTGGAAACTTGTTCCTTTGAAGCCTTTGAGGCTATTAAACAAGGCCTGTTATTTTATTGAAACATGTGAGTGTCCTTATTCTATCGATTTATATGGTATTGAGTGGCAGTATTACACTATGTAGCCTTTCTTTCCTTGCACACTATTGAGGATTCCATGGAGAAGTAGAGTGGAGTCGATTGCTGTATCTAAGCAGGGTGAAGGCGATTTGAGTTCCTCCTGAGGGGCTATAGGATCCCTTATATCCTATGAGGCTTATTACTCACCTCCATCTGGTGAGTGCGGTCAATATTATTTTTCACGTGGTGATTAGGTGGAAGCACATTTTGGAACATTGTTTTGAAAATCCTTTTGGGAAAATAAGGACTTATGTTTGAAATATTAAATAAATGTCCGTGCAAAAATATATATATATTTGTGATTATTTTTATGTATTTAATTTTTGCGCTGTTTTTTGTGTTATAAACAGCAGAACTTGTGTGCACTCTACTCAATGGTGAGCTATACACTTAAGCTAAATGACCCCCAAACATTACAGAAGGCTGCTGTGAAAAAATTCAATGGTGGTGGTTTTCACAAGGTTAGTTTAGGGGTGGGAGGGGGGTTCAGGGTTAGGTTAAGGGTGCTGGGGGTTACTGCACCTTTTTAATAAAAGTTTACTTTCCTGCTAAAAGATAACTTAACCCAATGATAACTATGCCGTATATTGCAGCTTACAGCCCTTAGATGTTCTGGCTGCACTTGTTTATTTCTTTTTCACTATCACTTTTTCAGCAAATACAGAAAACACCTGTTTATCTTACCAGAAATGCAACATCTTGTCACTTTCATTGAGCTGCACAGGAGAATATCTTCCTTTCTAGCTATCTTCTGTAATATACCAATTGCTCTGCCTCCCATGTATATATTGGAAATGAAGAGATATGGATATGTCCGTAATCATATCAGGAAAGCAGTCTGGGGTGACAACCATGTCTCCCTCTATAGATGCAGTGGAGTGACACTGCCACCCAAGAGCAGAAAGCGTGTTATTTTCAGGATTACTAGGTGAAAATAAACCAAAAAAAGTTTGAAAAAAGGAAACAAATGCAACCACCACACCATGGACTAGTAAGCTATAATAGATCACATTTTTGGTTTAGGTACACTTTACCGTTTATTGTTCAGACCATTTACATCAAGCTGACCTCTTTCATGTTCATATTAAGGCTCCATGCACACTAGCATTTTTTTTATACTCCTAGAAGCTGATATCAGCATTTTTTTTCTGCTCCAAGAGCCAAATAGTGTTATCCGATGTGTCCATGCACGCTATTTTAGGCTAGTAGAGTTTTTCAACCTTTAACATTTAGGAGAGTTTTTGGGAGCATTTTTCCAGTAGAAAAAAATACTGAACGCTCCTATAATGCTCCTAAGCTTTTTTATAGCTTTTTTTTCTACATGTACTGTAAAAGCGCAAAATAAAAGCTAATGCTCCTGAACGCTACTAAAAGGCTACTACAAGCATGGACAAAAAAATACATTATTATCAGCGTTTTTCATCCAGCTTTTTTTTCTAGTGTTTTTTGAGCTTATAAAAAATGCTAGTGTGCATGGAGCCTAAAAAAAGAGAGAGAAAAAAAAAAAACTAGCATTCTCTATAAGATTAAACCTAAGATATATTGATGATTAGCACCTGGTCGGACCTTCAGATTATTTGAGGGAATATATGACAAAGTTGCAACAGCTGCACTATACACGGGCAAGCAGAGCCAAATTTATACTTTTTCTCATCTGTAGCCATTTTTCTAGCCACCTCTAATATGGACATTTCTTCACCCAATACAAGCATGCACGACACATGCACTGTTCCACAAAAAACATGAAAAGGTAATGAAACACACAGTCAATTAAAAACATTTAACGGTACTGAGAAAAATCCCAAATAATAGTAAAAAAAAAAAAAAACACCACAATCTAAAAGGAAACATTTTTTAAGGTGTTTATTTAAGTTTTACATATGAGGTACATGTAAAAAACAAAAAAGGACCAACAGAACACAAAGAGCCTTGGCCTGCATACAAAGGAATATGCATACCGACAATTGGTGAAATGGAATCCAGTGTCATGAGACATGGATCATTACAATAACTTGTCACAAAACAGAGAAACTGCCCAAACATAGACAAACACCAGCCATACAACATTCACCCCATGCACACATGCTCCCTCCCTCTGCCAGTGCCACAACAGAAAACCTTAAAGTGATTGTAAAGGCTCAAGGCTTTTTACCTTCATACATTCTATGCATGAAGGTAAAAAAAACCTCTATGCAGCATCCCCCCCTAAGCCCCCTCTCAATCCAGCGATGTGCACTGGAGTCTCGGCTATCCCAGAACTCCTCCTCCTCATGTCAAGCACAGCCAGTGAGCCAATCAGGAGATGGAGGGGGCAGGGCCAAGCCACAGCCCTGTGTGTCAATGGAAACACGGAGCAGCGGCTCAAGAACACGCCTGCTCGGGTGCCCCCATAGCAAGCTACTTGCTGTGGGGTACCCAACAGGATGGAGGGGCCAGGAGCACCTGCGGGGGACCTGAGAATAGGAGGACCCGGGCTGCTCTGTTCAAAACCAATGCAGAGACCAGGTAAGTATAACATGTTTGTTATTTTTTTTCAAAATGTAAGCCTTTAGTATCATTTTAAGGCCTTGTTCACACCAGTGTGCACAGATGTCAGTTTTTCTGCACGCGTTCTGCAAGGGTACAAACGAAAACAATTGTTCTCTATGTGCCCTGTTCACTCCACAACACTAGAATCACATGGGGATTTTTTTTCTGCGCAGGAATCTGCAACGTGTATAAAACACATGGAAACACGCATGAAAACTGATATAATCTTGTGTCTCTGCAAATGAGCTCTGCGCACTGTTCCCTTCATTTTTATGCATGTATGATGTGAATGAGCCCAAGCAGTAGAGATACACGAGAAATTATTGGTCTATATCCAGAGTAGGCACTTCCAAATATGATGTCAGAGGAATCCAGCTATAGATTCCAGATTTTTGTAAACTTGTTGGGACATGCCCTACAATCATATATGATGATAATTCAGCATTAATCAGATGAAATACTTGTATTACAGCTGGGAGGTTAGGGTTCTTCCAATTGAGTATAGCTTTCCTGGCTTAAAGAATATTAAACAAAACATGGCACATTCATGGGTAAAAGGAACAAAATCATCCAGGACTCCCAGAAGACTCACTTTAACCCTAGGTTCACACTACTAAGGGCCACGTGGCTTGCATTTGCTCAGGCATGGCATCCCTTTTATTTGAATGGGCTGCTGTGCCCGAATATTCCGCAGAAAAAAAGGTGCTTGCATCTTATTAAAATGCGGACGCTGTTTGACCATACAGTTTCCTACGGTTCCCGCACCCACAAATGTGCTGCGGCCTGAGATGCGTGAGGGTGCCATTCAGTCTGGTAAAAGCAGTGAGATTTAGCAGCAGGTGGCTGCGGGTGTGGGAACAGGTGTGATTCTAGCCTTAATGTTCTGGGAGTAGAGAAACCTAAATTAGATTCTAGAGCAGTAATACAGTGTATACCAAAAGGCTGCAATATGAGGACAGGTCCAGAGGATGTGATATAAGCTGGAGAATACCCACGCCGAACACTTTGGCCATGTGTAGTGAGACCCATACATAGTAGCTTGTCAGGCATGTAGTATAGTTGGTATATGAACTTAAACTGTGTCAACTGTCCCCTCAGAAAGATCTGAAATAAATTGTCATTTTGGAAGAGACTTCAAAAGGTTGTGTTTCTTACACCCACAAACATTTATAAAAAGCTGTAGTTTGATCTGATTTTCCATGAAAAGAGAATGTTTCATAGGAGGGGAGGCTAACGTTTGTGTTAGGATGGCAAACTGAGTCCAAAGAGCATGAAATATCAACAGATATTTAAATAAATATGTGTTGGAGAAATGTGTGTGAACCCCCATGTCTTTAACCACCTCCTGTCCGGCGTATATAAACGGCCGGACGGTGGCAGTGCAGGGGCGGGTGGCCGTTTATAAACGGCCTCCCCGCCCCCTGCTTGTGTGCGCTCCCTGGGAGCGCGCAGCACCGTGATCCAGTGCTGCGTCCTCCAATCATCATACGGGACCTCTGTGCGAGGTTCCGATCATGTGATCACTGATTGGCCAATCAGTGATCACATGAAGAATAGTAAGCAAGATGTCACTGCTTACTACGTGTGAAATCTGTGAATGATCACAGAGATCACACGGTACAGGGCTATTCACAACAGCCTTGTACCATGTGACAAGCTGTGACCAATCACAGCTTACACAGTATTTCTCAATGGCTGCAAGAATGCAGCCAGAGAGAAGGAGAAATGATTGCTTTAACAGCCTTTATGGGTGTAAAAGCAATCAGTGTAAAAGACAAAAACAAAATCTTCATCACCCCCAAAAGTAGTACAGTGTCACCATGGTCACACTGTACTGCTAGGGTGACCGTATGTTAAAAAAAAACATAAATAATATAAAAAAATAAAATAAAATGTAAAAAATTTTACAAAAATTTAAATTTTTGGTTATAAACTAATTTGGATTATTATTTTTTTACTAAAAAGAAAACGGAATACATTTTGGCCAAGATTTATGAAGAAAGATTATTTATTTGCAAAATTTTATAAGAAAAACACTTTTTTTCAAAATTTTTGGACAGTTTCATTTATATAGCAAAAAAAATACAAATCCCAGTGGTGAAAAAAAAAAACACCAAAATAAAGCTTTATCTGTCTCAAAACAAATGCTAAAAAATGTCATATGGGTACAGTGTTGCATGACTGTGCAATTGTCATTCAAAGTGTGATAGTGCTGAAAGCTGAAAATTGGCATGGACAGGAAGGGGTGAAAGTGTCCAGACTGGAAGTGGTTAAAAGAGAAAAAGGAATTTCATTCGAACAGGTGAGATTAGCACAGCCAGAAACATCTCTGCAGGAACACCATCAGTACTGTAGTGACACAACCAGAAACACTTACACCTGTCACTTTTAGTTTGGCTCTTAAAATTAGTATGCAGGGGCCTATGAATATCAGTCTATAAGTAGCAGCAGCCAGTATAAATGTGGAATGGCCAAGGCAATTATTTCCTGCCCTAATGGCCAGGACCCCAGTGAGGTGGACAACTGCAGTTACCACAAATTATTATTTTCCAATATGCCCAATTTTTATTAAAGCAGTTGTTTTATAACTAATCCAAGCAATAACTGGGGAGTTTTCTTATTAAAACATATTATTGTCTATAGTCAACTACAGTAATGTCTTTAAACAACAGATCACATCTTGCTGTTCCAATTCAGTGTGCCCCAGAAAAAAAAATGTTTAGAAGTGCAAACATCACAGAAAGCAAATTAAGCATGGACCTTGTTTTCCTGTTACTGGTGACTCACAACTAATTCTGGCATCTGTACCACTGGGCAGAAAACAAAATGTAATTGGTTAAAACGAAGACTCTGTTGAAGAAAGAGATCAATCATTGCATGGACTCCAGAACCTTTCACTGTAACAACTTAGTCATACAGGGTATTTATGACATGATCTTCAAACTGCAATCTTCATTAAATGTCACATATAACCACAAACCTTTCTAAAATATTTACTATATAAAGAACAATACATTAAAGTGTATGCTACCCTAAACATTTGGGGGGGTTTTTTTCTGTGTGTGTGTTCACATATGTGTATTTTATAAACCGTAGTCATTATTTTCCTGTGCTTTTTCCATCTGAAGTGTCTGGTTGATCCTGCCAGTCACATGTTTTGTCTTAACTGTATTAGAAAGTGTCTATACCATTGTCTGTTCAAAACTACCTTCAAGACAAACCTGTACTCAAAGTGGAACTCTAGACAAAACATTTTTTAACTCTGGACAGAGTGGGGAAGGGTTCGTAGTTCCTTAAGGTTGCAGAGATTTCCACTTTGACTTGAACAGGATGACTAAAAATTGATTTTATTTTTTTTAAAAAGTCAAAAAAATCTGATTTTATTTATTTAAATCTGTTTTTTTTTTATTTGTATCAAAATTTATTTTAATAAAATGCTTTTGGAGTAAAAATCTATCTAAAATAGTTTTCTATTTAAGATACATTAATAATTTAGTTTATTCAGCATGAAATGGAGCCTAGTTATATAACATGAGGCTGTATATTCTGCAATATTTACATTTTTGGTAAACACATTCAATGAATCCAAGCTCTGCAAGCTGAGATAACATGCACTGCATTGATGCATTCACACAATTTCACAGTAACCATGAGAAAAAAAAACATGAAATAAAAGAATTTGAGTAGTTCAACTATGTGTGTTTAACCTATTAACATAAAATCGGTTCTGATATTGCTGTTTTACTAACCTGACAGCTTATTATGCTAAAAAGTAAATCTTCATTTGGTTTGAAAATATTAAAGATTCTAACTACCAGTAAGAATGAGTCGGGAGTCCTTACATTTAAAGAGCACCTGTCATTTTAGATCCATCATGGCAGCGCCTGTTAGCAAGCATCCACTCTCCTGCTGCCGGCATGTCCCTCACCTTGTTCTGTCACTGCCGCATCACCAGCGATCCCATGAATGGAACTGCCAGTGATTCAACAATGGGTCAGAGGAGGAGCCGTTGCGGGACAGAGATGACAGTTGCTCTTTAAAAATTATGATTTAAATCGAGCCTTTTCACTAGTGATTTAAATTGTGATTTAAATCAAATCCACCCTGGATTTGAAGCATAACAGAAAGAGAAAATAATCTCACAGTGAAAGGAAAGTTCAGGTTTTCCCATTGGGAGATTTTATATTATTTCCTCCAGTGATAAATTTCTGAAATTCCTCCCGTTGTTCTGCTTTATTTGATCCCTGTAACTGAGGACACTCAAAAGCATAAAACCTGACAGAGGTAGTCCTTCCCACTCTAAACAAAAAAGTGATCTCTTTTATGCCTTTTTACTGTTTGTGTTGCGGGCTTGGGGGAACCTTAAAGAAATGCCTAGTTTGTACAGAATATGTACCCTTCTCAGGGTCTCAGTGCTCACATGTCATTTACAATGGATCATGGAGGGAGATCAATGAACTCCTGTTCACCAATCTCTCCTTTAAATAAAGCCTAATAATAAGCTGAACTAAGCAGTCAGAACACCAGAGGCAACTATCAGATAAGAAACTGACTGGAGACTCTGTGGGGTTGACTTACTAAAAAAACTGGAGAGTGCAAACTTTGGTGAAGCCCTGCATAGAAACCTATCAGTTTCCAGTTTTTTTTTTGTCAAAAGCTTAATTGAACAAGCTGAAGTAAGAAGCTGATTCACTACCAAGTACCAGATTTTGCACTCTTCAGTTTTAGTAAATCAACCTCTGTGTCTTCAATGTGCATAGACTGTAGGCAACACACACACACACACACACACACACACACACACACACAGAAAGTTAAGACTAGTTTTGTAGTTTTCACTTATACCTGAAAAAAAATAAAAATTATAGAAAGAAAAAATGCACACCCCTACATTTACCACCACTTTAAATCCATGAAATGAATGCTAGTGATTAGAACAGTGGTTCTTAACCTGGGTTCGATCGAACCCCAGGGGTTCAGTGAGTCAGTCTCGCGGGTTCGGCAGAGGTGAAGACCCACACCCGACTCATATGATTCGTGCAGTAAATATTCAATTATTTTTTTGTTTTTGTGTGAAAATCATGTTTTAATGGTTTTGTTCTTTGTTCTTAACGGTTTTGTTCATTTTGTGCACCTATGTATAAAATATATACCTATGTTTTGAATTTTAAAAATCATATTTTATTTTTCCAATTAAGAAGGGTTCAGTGAATGCGCATATGAAACTGGTGGGGTTCAGTACCTCCAACAAGGTTAAGAACCACTGGATTAGAACCTCCTTTTGGAGTAGGTAGGCAGAACCTGTCGTGCTTTAACCTCAGATGTCTAAAATTTGGTGTTTTATTTGCTATTGTGGTGTGGTGTAATCATGCCAAGTTCTCCAAGACCTCAGAAAGGAGGCTGTGGACAACTAAATGAGTAGAATAGGATTAAAAAAATTACTTACAGTTGTGCTCAAAAGTTTGCATACCCTTGGAAAATTGGTAATATATACAGTGTGTAAAATAAAAAAACATGAGTGAGCAGGCAAAACACATCTTTTTTTTTTTCTTATAGGATTTATATTCAACTGCAGGTCGTAACAGAATGACACAATCATAAAACAAAACATGGCAACAAGTAAACAAATGAAATGACCCCTGTTCAAAAGTCTGCATACCTTTAGTTCCTAATACTGTGAATTGCCGTTTTAGCATCAATAATAGCACACAGCCTGTTGTAATAGTTGCCTATGAGGCCCCAAATTCTTGCAAGTGGTATATAGCTGCCCATTCTTCTTGGCAAAATGCCTCCAGGTCATGCAAAGTCTTTGGTCGTGTTGCATCAACAGCAAAATTTCAGATCTCTCCAGAGTAGCTTGATGATATTAAGGTCAAGAGATTGTGATGACCACTCCAGAACCTTCACTTTTTCTGCTGTAACACTGGAGGGTCAAGTTGGCCTTGTGCTTAGGGTTATTATCCTGCTGAAAAGTCCAAGAGAGCCCCAGGCACAGATTTCATGCAGAAGAATGCAAATGGTCTGCCAGTACTTTCTGATAACATTCTGCATTCATCTTGCCATCAATTTGCACAAGATTCACCGTGTTTTTGGAGCTCCCCCCAAAACATTACTGAGCCACACCATGCTTCAGTGTTATACTGTTAATTCGTGTTGCCATAGACCTTTTTGACCCCTCTCTAAACAGAGCTTATGGTTGTGACTATAAAGATCTATTTTGGTCTCTTCACTCCAGATTACAATATGCCAAAAGCGGTGAGGTGTGTAAAGGTGTTGTCAGGCATATTGTAACCAGGCTTTCCTGTGGCATTGGCGCAGTAAAGGCTTATTTCTGGAAAACTCCACCATACAGTTCATTTTTGTTCAAGTATCGTTATATTGTGCTCCTTGAAACAACCACACTGTCTTTTTCCAGAGCAGCCTGTATTTCTTCTGAGGTTACCTGTGGGGTTTTCTTTTCATCCCAA